AGTTTTTGGATTCGACATTGAAACTTTTCTTCTGTATTTCTTCTGCTTGGCTATTCTATGGTGCATTTATGAATTGGAAGTGGTGTTAACCCTAGCACATCAGTTTACCTTTCTTTTATGCATTGAAATGGTAAATTGTATTCGGGATTTAAATCCTAGATAGATGGTGCTTATTGAAATTTCTACTGAAAATTAGTTTGAGTTCCCCAATTGAAATTCTCCAAATTGATATTAGTGAATTGGAATTCATTATTGTTCGAATTCGTGAATTTGGATTCCGTTAGTTAGTGATCAGTATTGGAAATTGGGAATTGGGAATTCATGTTAGTAAGTGGTTAATAAAAAAATCACTTTCTGGTTTTGTCATTCTGATATTTTGTCTTTACTGATGGAAGTGAAGTGTATTTGCGTGCAATATAATGCAAGACAAGCACAATGAAATAAAGCTACGATAGAAGCAGACAAGGCTTTTGTTGAACATATTCCAATAAGGAATATATGAAATTAATTGATTCTAAAGTTAATGCTACATGAATGACGCTCAACATCAAAAAATAATTTAATATTTAGACATTAATTAAGAATTCTATTTTCACTAAACAATTTCCCAAAAAGTATAACTAAAAGCAAAAGGGCCGCTTGATGTCCTGAGATTTTATAAATTTTAGAATGACTTTCCTTTATAGGAAACTGATATCTATTAGAAAAACAAAGTTTTCAAGGGTACTATGGTCATAGACACCACTGCCAGACATAAATTATGAAGTAAAGAAATAGAAAAATGACTTCCAAATTAATCCAAAGAGATAATGTGTATTCATTTATTTTGTCCAATAGGTTTACAATAGATAATAATGAACTCTTTGCTTGATTCACCTGTTACAGTGCACATACTTGGGGGCTTAGTACATGCACCTATAAACTGTACAACATTCTTGTGCCTGCTTTTCTGCAAGTCAACCATAAATGTTCATCAAAAGATTATTAACATGGAACTCAACATAAAGTAGAGTAGCTCAACCTCTCTGCACATCATCACTAGAATAAGAAAGAGAGGAAAGACAACAGAAACAAAAACGGAACCGGTAGAAAATTTACTTTGAAGGTAGTTACTATCATAGAAAATTTTGGTAAAGGAACAAATTCACTTGATGTCACTAGCAGCTTATGGATAGAAGTGTTTAACAGCATTAATTATAACAAGCATCAAATATTCTGCCAATTATTTACTTTCCTCCATTTCACAGTCCGCATATAAAGTAATAAAATATTCCTTATATTCCATTGCTTCAGTTCCTCTCCAATCAACGACAACCCAACCCCCCTTATGGTCATAGACACTACCGCCAGATAAAGCTTCTGGGGAAGACCGACATGATAAAAGAGATAAATAGAGACAAAAGTATGGAGAGAAAGAGAGAGATAACATAGACTGAAGGAGGATTTAGGAAAATTATAAGACCTGTAGTTTGAGAGAGATGGTTGTTGAGTAATGGGGTGTTGAAGAAAAAATGCTTTGAAAGCTCTATCTGTTTATGCAGGAGTTTGTACAACGGTTCTTCACGAATCAAGCTCGAACCCGGTCTCCGGTCTCGATCTGAATACTTAGTGTGGACTGCACAAGAGGGTAAACACTCCGACGCGCTCGAGTCAGTATAGGTCGGACTCCGTATTTAGTTCGAGGTGAGATTCCATCCCTAAGCGTGAAATGAAGCCCTCTATTTATAGGTGGTGGATCCGACAGTGCACACGACCGGTGGTTATATGTCTTTTCTCATATCGAACCTGTCGGGTTCCGAGCAGATCGAACCACAACCAGGTCGAACATTGGCGTCTATACTTAGCCTTCTATAATGGGCGAACCTAGTCTCCTCGCCAAGACCGAGGTGGACCTAGGCAATTCCTTTTATTCAATTCTTCAAACTCCAGTAAGTGTCCTCCACGTGCCCCTGGTATTTTTATCCCCAAACACTATCAGTTCATTTGCCGCTATCATTTTGTATAGAAAAATTGAAGGCAACAACAAACAAAGAGGTGGCATTCATGATTTTATTGAAAAATAGAATGAAAATGAATGATTCTTACTCTCTTAGTACCATCAATTATAGAATCTCACATGAATTTGAGAATGACATTTTCCTATGTTTGTGTGCTTATGATTTCTATTTTTGGTTTTGTGTTATATTTTAGTTTCTTTTATATGGTGTTATATATCTTTTCTAAAGCTTTTGATTGTTTGGTGAACACCCTACAAAGTTATTGCAGCGTCCGCAAGCTACAAGCATCGAGGGGAGGGGGTTTGTGTACTTATTGTAGCCTCTATTAAGCATTGTAATTATTGTGTTTTAGGGGAGGCTTTTTATGGGGTTAATTATTTTTAATTTAATTTTATTTTGTTTGGGGTTGTGGTGAGAAATGTAACTTTGTTAGCTATGTTTTATGTTATATGTTTGTAGGTGCGAAATTTGTTTTTCTTAGCTATGTTTTATGTTGGTGGGTACCGAATTTCTCTCTCTTAATCATGTTTTATGTTTTATGTTGGTGGGTGCAGAATTTCTCTCTCTTAGCCATGTTTTATGTTTTCATCAAGCTTTTATTTTCACGTATATATAGTAGTGATCATTTTGGCTTATAAGTACTTTGTGCTTACATAAACTATATTTTTCAGGTTCTTCGGATATGAAGTGTCATGTAGAGCTTTTGAAATGCATGAAACTTCTACTTAGGTCTATGTAGCTTTCGAAACATATTGAACGTGTAAATCCAAAAACTTTTGAAATATGTGAACCTGATATGTTGGTATTTAATATATTTTGGTATTTTATATTTTGGTATTTGATATTTTGGTATTTAATATTGTGGTATTTGACCTTCAAATAAGGTATCCCAAGAATGTCGAGATTTAAATTAGGCATTTTATTTTAGAAAAAAAATAAAATATATATTGCCCAACATTTTTTATAAAACGTCGATAAAACTATAAATATACCGATTTTTGAAAAACGTTGACAGAATAGTAGATCTACTGACGTTTTTCAAAACGTTGGCAGAATAGTAGATGTGCCAACATTTTGGAAAATGTTGGCAGATTGAAACTTTTGCCAACATTTTGGAAAACGTTGGCACGTTTTCATAACTTTGGCAACTTTGCTAATATTTTTCTAAAACTTCTACCAACGTTTCTTTAAAATGCTGGTAGATCTGCCGACATTTAGAAAAAGTTGGCAGAAAGTCAGCTCTATCAACGTTTTTTGAAGGTTGGCAAAAGTATGGTTCTGCCAACGTTTTTTAAAAAACGTTAGCAATGTGCTTTCCCAATGCACTTTTGCAAACTTTTTTACCGACGAATATTTAACGTCGGGAGAAACTACTCCCAACATTTTTTTACTCTTTTCCCGACGTTTTATAACTTTGGGAAAATTCTAATTCTTGTAGTGTCTCTAAATTGATTAAAAACTGTAGTTGAGGCTAAAAAGTAGCTCATTGCTTCTGTATCATATAAAACGTAATTGATAATGTTTAGGTTGGTCAAATTTGAGGTTGTTTGTAATGTTTGGACTTAAAAAGAATGCGAGTAAATAGGATGCGCGGATCACATTGTTTTTCTTCTTCTTTTTATCTTCTTCATCAAAACCTTTTTAGTCATTTTTACTTGGGATTATTGCCAATTGGAGATCATCTTTCTAATTCCAAAGGCTTCTTTAGTACATTTCATTAATCTATAAACTTGTTCTCTATATCTTTTACTTTCATAGTATTTCAAATGCTTGTACTTATTTCCCCTTTCAATTTTTGTTTGTAATAGCTAGGGTTGCATGAGCTATTGTTTTCTAAACTATTTTGCAAGTTGCCTATGAAATTAAATCTCATTATTTTTTTTTTCGCTAATAATTACTTTCAGAGACATCACAAGGATGTCACTAAAAATAATTATCAGCGACACTCTTGTTTGTCGCTAAAAACCATTATCAGGGACATCCCAAGAAGTCGCTGATTATCATTTTTAAGGACGCGGATGTAATATTGCTAAATGTTATGATGACGCGTTATTAGCGACGACTGCAGTTGCGTCGTTAATATTTTCAGCGACGATTAGGAGCTTTCAGTGATGGTTTTTGTCAGTCTCTGAAAATATATTTTCTTGTTGTGGAAGCAAACACCCAACAGAGCCCCAGAGCCCTCGAGAACTGAGAAGACGGTGACTCAGAAATTTGGCGATGACGAGAAAGAAGAGGAAGATGAGAGAGGCACCCCCGATCCACTCTAGAAACAAATACGCCGAAAATCCCCCAGATTTCGCTCTCTTAGCCTCTCTCTATCCTTCCTTTCAACTCTTCGTCTTCCTCCATCCTCGACCCAGAATCGACTGGACCGACTTCAATGCCACCCGAGAGCTCACCCAGGTCTTGCTTCTCCACGACCATGGCCTTAATTGGTATCATTCTCCCCCATACTTCTCTGCTATTCCATTTCCTTGCGGTTGATTACTGTATCCCACTTGATGTTTCCTTACTTTATCTTCCCCAAATCAAAATGTTGAGAGTTTCTGCTGTTTGAACCTCCATGGTAGCAAAACTCTAATAGGAACTAGAAGGGTGGGGGGAACTCTATGTGGGTTTACTTTTTTATCTTTACATTCGATGTTTTAACTTGTTTAGGGACTCCTTTCATTGTGTTTCACTTGTTGGCTTGTTGGCAATTTGAAAGTTCTTTGATTGTCAAATTAGATTTCATCTCTAAATGAATGTTCTGAGTTTGGGGTAAATGTCATTTTGATATCTTAGGTGGATTCCTGATGGACAGCTCTGCCCAACAGTACCTAATAGATCAAATTATATCCATTGGCTTGAAGATCTTCTGTCATCCGATATCATTGCAAATACGAATAGTGATAGAGGTTGTGTAAGAGGTTTTGATATAGGAACTGGTGCAAATTGCATCTATCCACTTTTTGGAGCCTCTCTTCTCGGGTAGAGTTTCGTCGGGACAGGTGACTCCCTTGCCATATAGTTTGTCTTGTTCTCAAATTTTTATATTACCCATTGATTTGTATGTTGTTTAACAATGATCAGGTTTTGTATTCCACCGGGATTGGTTCAGTAGAGTGGGCTGAAACAAATGTTAAAAGTAATCCACATGTTTCTGAACTTGTTGAAATTCAAAAGGTAGATAGTACCTCGAATACTTTGTCTACAGAATTACATGACGGTGTAGCAGTCGATAGTGAATCCAAGAATTCAGATGATATGGATGGTAGGGCGGTAGGGCCACCCTCACCCTCATCCTCATTAAAGGAGACAGTCTACTTGGAGAAGAGATATCATGGTCCTCCCATAGTTTTTGACGTTGTCAAAGATGGTGTGAAATTCGACTTTTGCATGTGCAATCCTCCATTTTTTGCAAGCATGGATGAAGCAGGATTGAATCCAAAGACTTCTTGTGATGGGACTCCTCAGGAGATGGTTTGTCCTGGTGGGGAGAGGGCATTTATCAGTCGTATGATTGAAGATAGCACCGTCTTTGAAGCAGACTTTTCGGTATTCATTGCTCGTTCAACTGTAAAATCACCTCCGAGTTTTCTATATATCTTTTAGGAATCTTGTTCTTCTTATCCTTATTGATCTGTACAGGTGGTATACTTCAATGATTGGAAAGAAATCAAACCTCAGCTTCCTGATATCTAAACTATGGAAAGTTGGAGTGACAGCTGTCAAGACTACAGAATTTGTCCAAGGCCAAACTAGCCGGTGGGGACTCGCTTGGTCTTTTATGCCCGCAGCACGGAAGATTATTTCCACTCATTTCACTAACAAGAGTGTCTTGTCTTTCATGCTCGAGGTCAGTAGTTGATCAGAGCTTTTTCAAACTTTATACTGCGCTTGCACATGTTATCCCTCTTAGATTTGTAGATCAAAGTATAGATCAGATATTAATCCTTTACTGTAGATATGTAATTCAGTTTTGCCATTCTTCTGTGGCACAGGGTCTCTTGCCACAAGTTAATGCCATGAGTATACTGCAATCAATTGAACATTTTCTTAGTACCGGTGGAGCTTCTTGTAAACTGAGCACTTCTTCATTTACTGTAGATGTATGGTTGTTCACTTGGCCTCTTTTATATCTTTACAAGTGATGATAGATTGATATCATGCTAACAACAAATGTTTCAGTAGATTACAGCATCTGAGGATCATTGCCAAGCAATTCTCAAGAATGGGGCCGACCAGGTGGACAAAGGTGCTGGTTGTGTAACTGTGAAAGAATCAGAGTCTCAACCCTCAAATAATCTGTGTTTCCGAGTTTCGGTATTTGCCTCGCCATTTTTCGATTGTGGAACTTAATCACTTGTGCTTAGTCCATTCTTGACTATAGTAATTTTCTTTGTTGTAGGTCTTTCAGCAGATCCCGGGCACGCTCCTTGCGAAAGGCTCCTTGCATCATTCAAGTAGTGCTTCTGCAGGTACTCAAGTTTCCATATATAATACTCTCCTTTACGTGTGAACTCGAATATGAGGCACAGGCCGAACGTATGAATCATGTGAGTTTAGAATCTCCCTATTATATTCTCAAAAGTTTACAGGAGAAAACCCTTCTCCCCCAATTGCCAAGAATCTAAACGGGATTTTGTATTTGTTGAATATGTACGATCCAATGGAATAGGCAATATTACGATGGTATATACAACTCCTTGCAGGCATGTTCTCACTGATTTTTCACCGATTAGAGGAATTCCTGAAAGTTGAATCTTGTAGAGAAAAGGGGTCATAGAGATCCCTCTGCCTCAACAAACAATACTTGTTAAGCTCCATGATGAGGGAGAAGACTGTGGTCCGGTCCCTAGTCCCCCCGGACCCCAATCACTGTGCTAATTATCGACCATAATTAATTTTTGGAGCTTTTGAAGCTTGAATCGAATCTGTAAGAACAGGCAGTGTGTTGTACTATTACTCGTTTGTTTTCTATATGTAGCACATAAACAAGCGCAGAATTTTCCAAGTTTCTAATAGAAGACATTGCTAGATCTTTATGAACTTCATTTCTATTAAGAATCACTGTTACTTTGTTATATCACATTTCTGCTCCTTTGTTTCCCTTTGTTCCCTCCGTCCCCCCCTCCCCCATCCTGCTCGACATGCCGATGCATCTCAGTTTCGACCGTTCTATTAGGTCAACTGATGCTTTGACTGTTTTCTGTTTGTTGTTTGGTGGGCTGGTTGTGGGTGGTGGCGTTTTTGGCATAGCGATGTAGTTTGTTATGTTCTAGCCAATATAAAATGAATTGGGAGCTTGACATTATTGAATGAGCAAGCTGACTTCAGCAAAACTTTTTTCTAAACTAAATCCACCCCAACTGCAAGGATCTTGCGATCGTTGCACTTCGATGACTCGGTTCAACCAGTTTCGTCTAATTCTTTCGATTTCAATTTGCATTCCTGTATATATAGGTCTCCTATAATGACAAAGGAGCCATCCGGCTAGCTTTGTCTTGAAATAAGGTGAATCATGCAGCTATTACTTGTTCTTCACTATTAACACGACATAAATGAGGAACAAAAAGGAAAGGACAACTCAAAGTTTATGACAATTTGAAAGCAAGAAGTAATTGTATTTCACTCTACAGTAGGAGATTATTAAAAAATTGGGTTACGATTACCAGTGAGATAAACAAATCACGATCATGGAGTTTATTAGGAAAATGTCACCCCCAGAAAAAAATTTCTTGTCGTATGGATCATTATCACCCTATGTATTAGATTTGACCGACTCCTGAGTAATAAAAAAAATAGTAATGTAAATGTCAATCCAATATCTTATTTCCATTGGTAGGTTTCTTTCTAATGAGAACCCTAAAAAGTTATTTCTAGTCGTTTTTGTTTATTGGCCTATGTTACATGTATCCAAACAATTATATTTTCTCCCATATATTGTTCTTAAATTATGAATTAGGGTTTCAATCATATCCTCAAAAAGTGTCTAAAAATCAAACTTTAGGACGACCAAATGGGTATATGCGAGATAAATTCTTTTTGGTTAAGTATAAAAATGAGGTGAGTATTGTGCCAAAACGAGCATAGTTCAGCAGTAATTGACATATACCTCCAACCTTAAGGTTGTGAGTGAGTTCATTTTTTGTTTTAGACTTTTTTAATACAATATGTTGGGTGACAATTCGAACTCACAATTTTTTTTTTTATTGAATATGTATGTTTAAGTAGTTGAGTTATATTCAAATTGTCAATTATATTCGAGTTATGACAGTAGATTAAAATATTTAACCTAAAATATCTAACATGTTTTGAAAATAACAAAATAGACCTCTATTTTGAAGTGGAGAATAAAATTAACAATAATGTTGTGACAATTCGAACTGTGAAAGTGAAACCCTGTTCGGAACATTGCTACTCATGGAGGATTTAGCGGCTTTGGGATAGTATTTGTATTAGGAGGACGTGGGGTTGGGCATCTGGTTGCCATTTTACAATTTAAAAATTATGAAAGGGGTGAAAGAAATAAGGGAAGTAGAGTCACATATTCATTTTTTTTAAAAAAATGGATCATAAATCTAAAGTAATTAATGGGATGGATCCTATATTCAAATTTCTCCAGATTTATGCAATATGGATTGAAATTCTAGATTTATTTATATTTTAATTTCAACTGAATCCTACCTCCTCATCACACCAGTTTCAAATAATAATTCATTGTTATAAACAAAAACTCAAAAACTTTGAAAGAAAGTAAAAAAAAAAAAGAAAAAAAAAATCAAAGGTTCCACGTCCCATAATTTATCATCACGGACATAAATATAATTTTAATTTTTTTTAACAAATTAAAATAATAAAATAGTTTAGAACAAGAAATTTTGAATGGAATGGGTATTTGAGCAAATTAAAACTTGTTGCGAGTCAAATCAGCCCAGCCTCCACTCACCAAGATTCTGGCGATTCAGCACAGAACCCAACGTCTCGCGGCGGAGAAATGGCGTCGTCGCCGCCGCAATCTCGCCGTCCCGAACTCCGGAAGGACTCCATAACCAATCGCTGGGTCGTATTCTCACCCGCCCGATCCAAGAGACCCTTCGATTTCAAATCCAAGTCTCCTGCTCCTTCTTCTTCCGATCCTCCCCAGACATGCCCCTTCTGTATTGGCCGCGAGCACCAGTGCGCTCCTGAGATCTTCCGTTTTCCTCCCCAATCCCCTCACTGGAAACTGCGCGTCATTCAGAATCTCTACCCTGCGCTCAGCCGCGACAAGGGTCTCGATTCTTCGGTTTCTCCCACATCTGATTCTCTCTCCTGGGGTTCCCTTTTGGACGGCCATGGATTCCACGACGTGGTTATTGAGTCCCCCCTCCACTCGGTTCATCTCTCTGATTTGACGCCGGAGGAGGTCGCTCAGGTTCTTCTTGCTTACAAGCAGCGGATTGAGCAGCTCGCCGGCGATGGCAGCATCAAATATGTGCAGGTGCTTTTTATCTCGTTTTGGGGATCCAGTTTTTGTATTCTGATGATTCTGCATATGAATTCTTCTGCTGTGTCTCATTTGCATTTCATCGAACATGTGGGGTTCATTAGAATTTCAAGTAGCTACTGTCGGTTGGGTTTGATTTTTTTCCATTGTATTGCTTCAAAAGGTGTTTAAGAACCATGGTGCGTCGGCTGGGGCATCGATGACACACTCCCATAGTCAGATGGTGGCTCTTCCAGTCATTCCTCCCTCTGTTTCTACTCGAATTGATAGTATGAAGGAGTATTTCAATAAGACAGCGAAATGTAGCATCTGCCATGTTCCCACAAAGGACCTCTTGGTTGATGAATCAACCCATTTCATTTCAGTCGTTCCTTATGCAGCTTTGTTTCCTTTTGAGATTTGGATCGTCCCCCGTGACCATGTTTCTCATTTCCATCAGCTAGACCAAGAGAAGGTAAATCAAACTTCTTACTTGTGTCTATTTAAACTTTGAAGTTTTAGGATAGCGTGTATTTAGTTTCCTATACTGTAATTACACTATCGAAACTAGTCCACCATGTAATTCTTAAACAATACAGATAGAGATTTGTTAGATTCAAAATTAGAATTGTAGGAATCTATTAGAATCAGTTTAAAGTGGAAGGGTCATATAAAGATTTACAGACCACTTTTTAAATTACAAGGTTTAAATATACATCACTTTAAAGTTTTGTAGTAAACATATAATTTAACCAAAACCAAGTTATTGTACTTTCATTTGATGGCCACAACAAAATATGATGCTGTGTGACTTATTTGCAGTGCAGGCTGTTGATCTTGGCGGGCTATTGAAAGTTACACTCAAAAAGATGTCTGTGCAGTTGGACAAACCACCATTCAACTTCATGATTCACACTTCTCCATTGCAGGCTTCAGATTCAGAGTTGGCTTTCAGCCACTGGTTTTTGCAGATTGTGCCTCAGCTGTCTGGAGTTGGGGGGTTTGAACTTGGAACTGGTTGCTACATCAACCCTGTTTTTCCAGAGGATGCCGCCAAAGTCATGAGGGAGGTTAACATTTCAAATCTAGACACAGGCCCAGGTACGCTCTATTCTGATGAATCTCTCACTCTTCACACATTAAAAGACGTGGAGTTTGGTATACGATTTTGACACATTCGCATAAAATGAGATTTTTACTTAATTTTATTGAAGATTTCAACATAGTTTTATTCTGTAGAAACTCTGTTCGCCATAGCTTCATCTGGGATGTTCTTATTTTGGGACATCCTTCGTTGTTCTGAAATCTAACTTGCTTAACAGGGATATTTGCTAGTTATAGAGTGTGGTGATGTGACCCAATTTGGAAAAGATTTGTTTTATCTTTTGGTGCAATTTTTCAAACACACGAAGGACACAATTAATTGTGCAACAAACAACATATTGTAGTCATGTTATTACATAGAGTGTGGCCTATTGAAGACATTTCAGGAAAAACAAAGCCGAAACTCAAGCCCAAAAAGGCCATACAATGCACGTAATTAAAGGAATCAACTTCGGAAAAACTTGAAGATTGTCGAAGACTGAACCAAGAACTGTTTCTCTCTTCAAGTACTCTCTCTGCGAACCCTCCAAATTACTCGAAAGTAGCCCGTACATAAGGCAAAATCAGAACAATCACTGATCAGAAGTTGAATCGTAGAAGGGAATGGGGGAGTAAAAAAAAAGTCAAAACTACAAGTTTAGTCGTTTAACTTTCATGGTTGTGAATGTATTTATTAACTTTTAACTAAGCTGAGTGTGTTGGAAGTGAAATAACAATTGTATTTTTAGTTACGACCTTACTTGAACAGGATCTGTTTTATAAGTTGTACAGCGGTGTCCTTGATTTCTAACAATTGTATTTCTAACATGCAGAGTCACTCTAATGCGGGAAGGTTGCAGTACGAACCCCTTACACCAGTTCGACGATCTAGTCATGATCTCGAACAAAAAAGTTGGAGTAGAGATACCTGCTGGCATGATATATGCTGTAGATTGAGATATTGAGCAGGACGTATAGTCTGAATTCATCGAGTCCTATGTCACATACTTACTAGTAGACAATTTTGTAGGAGGGGACGAGACAAACACCGACACTGACAACAACGACTACAAGCAGGCATAGAGCAATGGGGACATCCTACAGAGGAAGTAAGAAGAAAGTACTAACTAGAGTCTTGTTATGCGTCTCTTCGAGCAACCTCTATGACCAGGTGCTGTGCTGAGATTTCTAACACTTCATGCTATTTTGTATTACGACTCTCATTTAACACTATATATATTTATGAATCCATTTTAAGAACATTCAAGTTTCAATTATGAATTATGACTTTATATTTTAGTTTTCCATTAATGCATACGACTCTAATAGTAATATGAGCAAATTTTGGGCATATCGTATGTCACACAATTACTAAAGTTAATGCTCTATTTTCATACATATGGCTTATTATTTGTATGAACGTGAATGTTTAAAGATAAAAATTTTAGAGCTTAAGAATTGATTTACTTCGTGGCTTATTATGCTAATGGTTCTAAATATTCGTTGACACGTCGACATTTTCATTGACATATTCATGTTTCCATAGGTTTAACATCGATATGAGAGGTGAATCGATATTTTCATCATAGTACAAGAAAATCGACAAAATATGAAAAATATCAACAAAATGTCATTCATATATATATATATATATATATATATATAATATTAATATTAATTATTTTAAAATAATTTAGAATTGAAAAAATGTTTATTTGTTAATTTAAATATTTTTTACGATTTTTTAATTTTTCTAACTTTTACAGAAATATTCATTGGTAACGACATTTTATTGATTATTCCATGAAATTGAGACCTCGATATTTCCATCGACGTTTAAAACCTTGGTTATGTTATCCTAATATATATATATATATAATAATAATTATAATAATAATAATAATAATAATAAATAAATAAATAAAAATAAAAAGTTGAACCATGCTCATTAGAAAATTATCTTTACATGTGATGTGATTAAGTAAATAAATAAAAATAACCAATTTGAATTAATTTAGTATCAAATGGTTAAAATATTACATTCTAAAATTTTGTGACTTGTTTCGTGGGTTGAATTTTGTTCATCTTCCTCGTTTTCGTAAATTCTGAAAGTGGTACGTGGTCACCACTTTTCTAATGTTGTCTTTAGTGGTGTCGGACTAAAATCTAATCTCAATTTGACGGTGGAAGAAAATAAATATTTAATATAAATAACTTAGTAAAAAATAAAAGATCAAGTTACAAGTTTAGCCCCAAAATTTTCAAGTTTATATAAAGTTTCCAAAATTTTAAAAAGTGTTTAGTAGGTCTATGACTTATAAGTTTATGTCTATAGTTACTGACCTATTCAACATTTTTTTTAAAAGATTAATGGATTTATTAGACATAAAATTGAAATTTGTATCGGTCCATGAATTTTTAAAAATAGCGAATAAGCCAAAGACTTATCAAACACAAAATTAAAAGTTCAGGAGCCTATAAACTTGAAAGTTTAGGAATGTTAGATATTCAACGTCTTGTTTATGTTGTTTTAGTTGTGAAAGACCTCATGAAAACAACATTGAAAGATAGATATCAAAAGAAAAAAAAAAAGGTTAAAATACTAGTTTGATCCCTCTACTTTGAACTCTGGTTCATTTTAATCCTTCTATTTTTAAAATGTTCGTTTTGGTTCGTGTACTTTCTACTTTGGTTCATTTTGGATCCTATATTTTGAAAATGTTCATTTTGGTTCTTGTACTTTTAAACAGTGATCATCTTGGTCATTTTATTTTGTTTTAAATTTCTTTTTTCCTATCACAATTTCAACACCACATTATAATCAATATATTTCTTACAATGTAAACATTACTTTATACTAAATTGTTTTCGTTAGATGTAAAATTTGTGTTAAAATCTTGCAAAGAGGGAATAAAATGATCACTTTTTAAAAGTACAGGGATCAAAATGAACATTTTCAAAGTACAGGAACTAAAATGAACAAAAGTTAAAAGTATAGAGATAACATCTCCAAAGTACAGAGACTAAAATGAACTAAAGCTAAAAGTACAGGACCAAAATAGTATTTTAACAAAAAAAAAAACATTTAGGCGCAAGTCTCTTAAATGTATGATATAGTTATTTTGGTTAGAAGACTTTAGAATCTTTGCGTTTAGAGGTTTATGGAGAACTTATTAAAAATAGTGAATTGAATAGGGAATTTCCGGGTGCATTTCGTTAGATGATCCAAAAATAGAAATTTGAAAACAAGAGATTCAATAAAGAAAAAAAAAGAGTTGGTATTCTATGTTTTTAATATTTTTTATATGTGTTTGGTAACATATTTGGAAATTGAATCTTAATTTAAAAATTTGTTCCGAATGTTTACTAATATATTTGTAAACTAGCGATAGTTACCAACCAAATATGTAGTTCAATCTAAAATAATATTAATTTCTTTATTAACATATATGTTATAAGAATTGTTTAATGATTACTAACATGAGCATAGCTCAGTAATATGACATCTATTCATCCCCATGAGATCGAAGAATCGAACGCCTATATCACCAATTTGTTGCACTAATTTTTTTTTATTGAATTATTATTTTACCATATTATATATTTTAAAGTGAGAACAACAAGAAGCGAGTGATCGATGCCGCTACAAAATACTTGATCAAAACCTTCTTACTCTAACAATTTTAGATGAAATGCTACATGGACGTCAAGTAGATTTTCAATGGTCTCTCCCTCGACTGGAATCTCATTCCTATGTACATGGGCACCTCGTACCTATCCTATATAAGCTAAGGTCCCATCCGCTAGCTCAAATGGACAGTTCTCAATGTAGCAGAAATTGCTTACTGCAAGTGTACGGGTCAAATTTTAATAAAAGTGATTAGTTTATACCGATGTCATCTTCTGGATTAGGTTTCTAGTGTTGGAATGGTATGACAACTCTAGAGGGGTGAATAAGGTTTAATTAACACGATGTGTCAAATTTAAACAATTATGTAGACTTTTTATAAATAAATAATTTTAACACACAATCAATAAATTAGAAATACATTTCAAGCACTATAACTAATTCAAATGTAAATATTGACTATAAACATGAATAACAAATTCTAGCAATTAATTTCATACAATTTATAATAAAGAAAATTAATTGTAAAAATTAAATAGAGGAGGGTTAGAGAAAATGTCATCAAAACTTTTATTGTAGTATGCAATACGGGCCTCCATACTTCCATACTCCTTCTATTTAAAAGTTGCCACATGTAAAGTATCTTTATTTTTAAAAATAAAAAATATATATTTTATGTAGGTCCACATATTTAGAAGCAATATTTATTCCACGCATTTCACTTCTTAATTTAACTGTACATTCTCTCCCCTATTTATTACTATTATATATGATTATTTATTTGTATTTTATTTTTAATCTATTTCTCATTTTAGTGTTATTTACATCATCAATTGCTTCTCTTATTCTCAATTTTCATTTCCTTAATTTTCTCTCTTAAAACTTAAATTTTTCATTTTTCTTGAATGTTGGAACTTCAACTATTTGTACTTCACCATTTAAATTATGTATGACTTTTCAATCTATTTTTAATTTTTATGGTTCTTTATTATTATTTTTTATCCATTCCATTCTAATCATTTTATTTCTTTTTCATTTTTCTTGAATGCATAGAATATTTTAATGTATTCATCCCCACCTGAAGAAATGAATCTCCAAGTATGTTATGTTTAATTTTTTTCATTTTTTAAATTCATCATTTTTATGAATTTTATTATTTGATTAAAATACACTTATTTTTGTTGTCATTGTTGAGCTTTAGTTTAACCGAATTTTTTTTTTCAAATAAATGGCTAACCCATAACATAATAACATGGAAATAAATGGCTAGTACATAACATATAATTCAAAAAATAGAATTTTCAAATAAGTTCATGACATATTTTTATAATATGTTAATTAATTAATCATATTTTTTTATTCGATATTTATACGTATTTTAAAAAAAGTTGGATAACAAAATAGGTAACAAATAAAATATGGTGTATTTACTTTTTAAGTATTTTTAAGTATCTACTTTTAAAATTTTTGTTTTTATTTGAAAAGGAAAGTTGCAAATAAAAAACAACGTATCAAAATAGGCAACAAATAAAATCTAATTATAATATTGATTAAATGATACAAAACAATTATTTAACTATTTGAAAATATAATTACAAACAAAATGAAAATATCAAAATAAAATAAACAAACCTTCTTTCTTATTTTAGAAATCTAGAAATGACAATAGAAAATAAGATATAAAACTACTCAAATACAAATTTTATTGGTTTGAAGAAAGAGAAGAAAGTGAAATAATAGTAGTTACATTAAGAAAAGTAAATTTACAAAATCAAAACTTAGCATGACTTAACTGATTAAAATATATATCCTGATCAAAAAGTCATAAATTTGAATGCATACATATGTTTTAGGGATTAGTACATTGATGGATTATTTAAAGATCTTAATTACATAAAAGGATGGAATGTATAGAATTTACACATTTGTCATGTATCAACCTTATTTAAGAGGGTACCCATCATATAAATTACTTAAATAGCCTCTTGTATTTACAAATTAATTTTAAATTCATTTTAATATGCAAAATTAATTAATTGGAAGGTTATAATTTAGATCCCATAATTTTAGGTTAATGATACTTTCCAAAACAAATTAAAACACCAAAATATTAAAAACAAATCCCTAAATCCCCAAAATTGAAATCATAACCTCCCAAAATATCTCCAAATCCCGTCCAAAAATCTCCCAAATTCGAAATCTAAGAACTTTTTTCGCTTCATCCATGACACATTTAAAACTTCAGTTTTGGAGGACCCTTTCTACATTACTATAGGATATATGCGTTTATATCTTGTATACAACTATAAGATATATATACATATAAGATATATACACATATACAATAT